AGTAGGTTTTCATCTCTGTCCGGGTGCACCATGCCCGGAGGCGCTGGGCCTCCCTCCCTCCGAAGCCGTCCACGTCCTGCGGTCGCAGTCCGTCAGCCAGGTCGGGGTTGTGTATAACCGGCGTCAGGGGTGCGGGGTAGGTCGTGAGCTGCAACTTGTAGCGGATATTCGACCATATCCTCAGCGTCGCCCCAATGAAGGGGTGACGTCTGAGTTCCTGGTCGCTCAACGGGGCCCGCGTCCAAACCACCGGCGGGATCCGTCCCCTCGCCCACGTCAGCTCCAGCTGGACCCATTGTTTGTCCGTGACCGACACATGCCAGTCGACGATGCGGGAGAGGTGGGAGGCCTGGTAATATCCCTGGAGAGACGGCAGGCCTGTGCCTCCACGGTGCTTCGGGAGGATGAGTTGCGCTCTCCGCACTCTCGGGGGGCCCGACGACCACACAAATTTTAGTATCGCGGAGTCCAGGGATCTGAAGAAGGCCTGCGGGAGAGCTATTGGAATGGTCTGGAACAGATACAGCAGGCGTGGTAGCAAATTCATTTTCACTGCATTTATCCGCCCGAACCATGACACACAGAGCTTCCCCCAACGCATCAAGTCCGTGTGGAGGGAGCGGAGGATGGGGAGGAAGTTCTCCTGGTAGAGCTGGGTCAGGTCCTTCGTCAGCCAGATCCCTAGATATTTTAATCGGTGTGGGCACCACCGAAAGGGGAAGCGGGCCTGCAAGAGTTCCGCCAGCTCATGTGTCAGGGACATGGGGAGGACTTCAGACTAAATTAGAAATTGTCTACTTTCATGTAGCCTTTCTAGAGAGTCCATTGGCAGCACATCATAATTGCAGTTCTATTTCCTAATTATCAGAATATTGTTTTATGTATTTAATGTCACCAATACATGCATGAAAGGTAGCTGAAAAACTGGTGGAAGCAGCTACTGGAAACATGAAAAAATAACGGCTGAACTTTATAGAGCCCAACAATATAATTGACTGAATTTTTTTTTATAGAGCCCATCAACTAATAAATGAGTTCTTTTTACTGTTTATTTCCATTTGGTATTCTATGTGGTGTGATTCACAAGTTATTTTTTATGTTTTGGGAATCCTCTCTCAGATTAATGATCTTTTGAAGGTATTCATAAGTAGGAGGGTCGCAGGTGACCAGACTGAGAAAATAAATGACTTTTTAAAACTGTGTTGAATTGGCTGGATTATTGTAGGACGTTGTGACATTCTGGCAGAGGTAGGGCAAGTGGTTTGGTAGCAGATATAGTGTTGGAATTGGAAAGCTGGGTAGGCTATTTTAGAGTATTTAAAATGTATGTTTTGACATTTGCTATTCCATATAGCTAGGGTGACATCTCTCATTGGCCCTACACAAATAATTAAAACAAATAACATACCGTGTCATTAAAAAAACCTCTATTAAGATTGGGAAGTTAAACTAAGTTTGGATCTTGGATGTCCTATGGTTTTTTGTTTTTTTTGGTGGAGTTATTTTTTTTTCAGCAGGGGATTTTAAAATGCAGCACAAATGATTTGCAGTTGCATTAAACATTTAAAATCTTTTCAAAGGTGTGTTTTTGTTTTTGCTCCTTCCTACCTTATATAGATTTTATTTTATTTATTTTTAGGGAAGTACACTGAGGAAACGAAAGATGTATGAAGAATTCCTGAGCAAGGTGTCCATTCTGGGTGAGTGTTTAGAACTTTTCCTACTATTCCATGAGAGATTTTTAGATAAAACCTAAGGCTGAAATGTGTGAGCTTGGTATTCCCAGAAGAAGGCCATCATATCTTCTTGGTATCATCATTTTTTTATTTTTTTTTTTTTTTTATTTGGCAAATGTCATCCAGGATAATTCCAAAAGAAGTGGTTCCATGTTGAGTTGAATACAGTGTATTAATATCCATAGATGTTGCTGCGTGCGAGAAATCTATAAAGTGCAATAATAATGATGAACACTTTAAGGATGGGAGGTACCATGGGACTTCAGGCACCATAACCACTTAATTGGCATAAAGTGGTTATGGTGCCAGAGTATACCTTTAACGATTACTTGGTGTTGACCCCATAATCATATGTACTTCCAAAACCCAGATGTGCTGAATAACTGGCAGCCTACTCATGGTGCATTATACAATTATTTATTAAAGTTAATTTCCATTTTTTTGATTGAACCATTTTCTCTCAGAATCCCTTGATAAGTGGGAACGTCTGACGGTAGCAGATGCGCTGGAGCCAGTACAGTTTGAGGACGGGCAGAAGATCGTGGTGCAAGGTGAACCAGGAGATGAATTCTTCATAATCCTAGAGGTCAGTTTTTGTTCTAAAAATTAAGTGTGTACCGCAGAACAATATATTTTATATATACAGCGCTTATGAAAATTGGATCTTACATGTATGACTGCATCAACTTTTATTTAAGGAAGTTGTTGCACTTGTTTATTTTATGTGATCTACCAGCAGCCCCTGTTTATAACCCCTTTACTAGCGTGCACATTACAAAATGAAAATGAACATAAATGCTTGGTTGTCACTGGATATAGATGGTTTAATTTATTTGAAATTCAAGAAACATTACCAGGGCATGAAATAAGAGAAAATAATTGTTCAGGTAGATTGCTGTTAAATACAACAAATCCGTATAATTTGCAGATATGTATTGGATCGTAGAAGATATTGATGCTCATTGTGTAAAATAAAAAAATGACATTGAGGACATTCTGTAGGGATTCACATATGATAAGTAATAAACGGACTGCAGTCACCAGCTCGTGGCACAGAACTAAATCAAGCTGGCTTTATTCCGTAAATATGAAACTGTAAATCCTTGAACAGAATTTGAGATTTTATGTGCAATTTTCCAGTTTAGTGAATTTGCACGTGCAAGATGTTGCTGACTATAAAGGACCAATAATTATGTTTTCGAAGAGGCACAGTTGCAGATGTGTGTCCCATGTGTCATGGAAACAGGTTATGTTGGCAGATCCGTGTTTCTGTAGATGTAGTTGACACGTTTAAAACCTTTTTTTCGATTTCATGCAGGGTACAGCCGCAGTGCTGCAGCGACGCTCTGAGAACGAGGAGTTTGTGGAAGTGGGCCGGCTGGGTCCTTCTGATTACTTTGGTGAGTAACGACTATCCTATAGTGAAGTAATCTCCAACAGTACGTCCAGTGCCCTTCCACAATGCGCTGCTTTAAGTGGAATACAAGGGTATTGGTGAAATGTGCTTGTTTTGAAAATAAAAATAAATTTTTAATCTGTTCACGTAAAAGTGAAAAAAAAGACTACTTTTTGGCGCTTGGTCCTATATTAAATAATGTCCACAGCTATTTGCACTCTAAAAAAAGGTATCTGCTTCACTTTAAATAATGATGTTGCTCAGGAAGTCTAGTATTATATGGTCTCGTCTTATCTTTGTAACCTTGTGTTAAAGGGAGCCAGAGGGAAAGTAAAGTACAGCTCTCATGCTAAAATTCACTTTATAGACTATCTGCCTATTTAATTTTGCATTAGCCATACTCCTGATCAATGTTTTAGTGCTCTATGTTGTTAACCTAGTTATAAACTGATTGGTTTATTTATTTATTTATTTTTTGTCCATGTGAAAGCATGTATTCTACACTGCTTTCTATGCAGTATAAAGCTATTGATGTAAAAATAATCAAGAACTGCATACATCCCATGATGATTGCTGATCTGTGCCAGAATGCAATGCATGTTTCTTAAAGGAACTCTATAGTGTTATGAATACAAAGCTGTATTCCCAACACTAGAGTATCCCTCTGCACTCCCCCTTTAGGCAATTAAAGTGTAAAAACTCTTTAAATTGCTCAACTTATACCAGCGCTGAAATCCCCTGGTGCTGGCTCTTTGCCTCCTCTGACGTAAACACCAAGGGGGAACCCCTTTCTTTTAAATTAGTGCTTTCCTCTAGGGGATTTGAAGACTATGGATAACCTCTTGCACAGCATGAGAAAGTCCAGTGTAGTTTTACGTAGTTAAAAATCCATAAAACAGCAGGAAGCGCTTCTAGTGGCTGTCTAGTAGACTGCAGGGTTAAGGAAACCGGGACAGTGCACCCAGATTACTTCAATGAGATTAAGTGGTGTGGGTGCCTGTAGTGTCCCTTTAACCAAACAAACTAGAAAGCAGCACAGTCTGTAAATTCAGTCGTAATATATAATATATTAATCTCATATATGTCTGTTCTAATAAAAGACCCAGAGGCGTTTTATCACAGATTACATATTGGGTTTACCTGTATAGCTCTCCTGTGCTAAGCTTCTTAAATAGGCTCTTTCGGTTTGTCCTCAACTAAGTAGGTTGATTTTAAAGGAAACGGTATACCTCAAATGTAAAAACCTATTGTAATGAATCTTATTATCTGTGTTCTGTCTTTGAAGGTTCATGAAGTAGTTTTATACACAGCAATGTATTGTTTATGAGAGTGAATGTTCAGACACTGGCTGTAAGCGCTCTGGGATACTGTAAACAGGCCTTGCTGTATAAATCCTCTTATTGAAGTATTCTGCTCTGTGTGGAGGTGTGTCACAGCTTTGCCGCTTTTTATTTTGGGAGATTTGTTGCTGATGGGGGATGGAAAGCAGCAGCTCTTTCCTACAAGTGATGACGTTGCTTCCTTCCTGGTATATTTTGATATAGTAGTCGCCTCCTTCCAGTACCTGTGTGAAGATAGCATCTTCTTCCAAGGGGTTGGAGAGGGGAAGTGCTAACCTACTTTTCCCTAAAGACTGGTTATGGGAATGTGTTGTTTCTCTTTCCTTCACTGTCAGGGTGGTATTCAAGCTGTCTGTTTAAAGGGATAGTATATTCACCAAAACAACTTGAGCTTAATGAAGCTGTTTTGGTGTATAGATCATGTCATTATCTGCAGTTTAGGGATTAAATCACTTTGTTAATGCAGCCCTTGTCACACCTTCTAACATAAGTTAACATCTGATTGAAAAGGAAAGCCAAGGGAAGTGTGTGTGTGTGTGTGTGTGTGTGTTAAAGTTACAGAGTAGGATAGATAGATATTCTATCTATCCTACTCTGTAACTTTAACACACACATCTACCACGCTATTAACAATGAAGGAGACAAGATTCTACATCAAGCAGAATGTGATATAAAGGAAGTGTAAACATTAGATCTCACTGTATAGGAAGTGTTTAAGAATACTGTGCGACTCGCATGCAGAGAGGTGTGACAAGGGCTGCATAAACAAAGTGATTTAATTCCTAAACTGCAGCTAATGACATGATCTATACACCAAAACAGTTTCATAAAGCTCAAGTTGTTTTGGTGAATATACTATCCCTTTAAACAGACAGCTTGAATACCACCCTGACAGTGAAGGAAAGAGAAACAACACATTCCCATTATATATATATACACTTCTAACATAACTTAACATCTGATTTAAAAGGAAAGCCAAGGGAAGTGTGCTTAGGGCTGCATGGACAGAAGAAAAAGATGTTTAACTCTTAGATAGCAGAGAATTGAGCCCTAAGACTGCAAAGGCATGATTTATACACCAAAACTGTTATATTAAGCTAAAGTTGTTTTAGTGCCTATAGTGTCCCTTTAATGGAAGCGTATGTTTGTAAGTTTTCTTCTGAAATGTGAAATGCTCTGTTAGTAACCATTTTTTTTTTTTTTTTCTTACACAGGTGAAATAGCCTTATTAATGAACCGGCCTCGTGCCGCTACAGTGGTCGCTCGTGGACCCCTGAAATGTGTCAAGCTCGACCGGCCACGCTTTGAGCGGGTCCTGGGGCCATGCTCAGACATCCTGAAACGAAACATCCAGCAGTACAACAGCTTCGTCTCCCTGTCTGTCTGAATTACGTTTCCTTCCCTGGGTCCCCATCCCTCCCACCACGCCGCTTCACCTACGCAGCTTCTCCTCCACAATGTCACAGCTGTGTGAAAACCCCAAATATGCTCCTCTTCCCCTCCCCCACCTTACTTTTTTATGTTTCCTCTTCGCCCTTTTTGGCTGTAAGGGGATTGCGGTACAGTTTACCTAGTACCTGACTGAACTAACCTTGATGATAATGAGTTATTAACTGGTGCTGAAGTCTCCTTGTTGGGAGAAATATCCTTTGTGAGTTTCTGAAAATATTTGACTTGTTGAATACTGCTTTTCCCTTCATTCTGTTATTTTCACTGTCCGCAGTCCATGGAGAGTTGTATATATTGCCATTTTGTTTTTAAAGGTTTATGCCACAATCCATTTGAACTAAGAAGCACTTTTGCCTTCATATAGGATTTTGACAAGAAGCATTTGTTTTGTTCAGGTACAAAAGCTTTTTAAAAGCGTCAGATTTAGGGGAAAAGTGGAAGGTACAGTAATTTTTTGAATGTGATCTTCACATCTTAATGTTTTCAGTGAGCGAGTGAATTTTTCAGTCTTTCACAGTGTGTATTCTTTCACCTTGCCTGCTTCTGTCCCTTTGATTTTTGTATGGTTTGCGGATTCCTGCAAGGTAGTGATTTACTGCAGCCAGATCTTTATAATGGTACTTCATAACCTGCAGTTATTCCAGCAGGAGCGTTGTGATTGGCGCAGTTCTCAAGCAGCTGTATGTTGTCGTTCTGTCAAGGCGTTTCATGTGAAACTGTGACCACAAGGGAACCGAGCAGCTACGATCACTCTCAAAGCTTTATTGTAAATCTTCGATCACCAGTTTAACTCTGAAATCACCTTGTTGTAGTTCTGTTGCGTCCTAGGTAAAACTGCATTTCGACTTATAAGGAAAAAAAAAAGCTGTGCCCGCTTCTCTCTGTGCAATGTAAGTGCCGTACTAAATATATTTTTATTATGGGGAGGGAGGGGTGGGATTGCTTGGTTTTCGGCACCAAAATAAGAGAATAAATGACTTATCACAATGGGGCCGACTTGTAACGGTGGAAGCTAATCTTTTTAAAGCATTTTGTTTTCCATACATTAGTCACACAGTGCTGTATTTCAGTATGTCTAGATCCACACGTTTCATATATCTGATCCGGGTATGTATCCGTACAGCTCACCTTGTCTAGTTGCGCGCGGCCTGCGGAGGCTACTGTTTTTTTTTTTCCTGTGTTGTCAAGGCATCTTAAGTGCGATTTCACCCGTCTGTGGCACTTAGGCTCCGCATGACATAATGACAGATTCTTCCCTGGTTGACTTTTTACTGATGTCCCATGTTTTAATGTAACAATTTTTTTTCACTGCTGAAGCAGCGTAGAAGGGAGTGTTAGCCTTCTCTTTAAAAAAGGGGAACAGCCTGTGCTTCCCCCCAAGACTTGATACACACAAGTTGTTTCTGTCTGCTGTCTAACAGATACCTTAACGCTTCAGGTGCACTCTTTGCAATGTTTAATTCCAAAATAAAGCTCCATATATAAAACAGTCTCCAAAAAATATGCTGCATGTCCATTAGACACCAAAAACCTGGACTGTTCAAGTTTTTGATAGTTGGGCTTTTGTGCACACAAGTGATTTTGTCTCCATTAAATAATAACGTTAACTCTGTCATTGGTAGTTTCTGGTTGCGTCATAATGACTGGTAGCAGGCCGACCACAGACACCACCAGGTGTATGGCTACCAATGCCAACATCTGTTAATCCCACAAATTTTAGGAGGCTGAACACGGGTTTGGTGAGGCGTAGGGCTTATTAATAAGCTTATCTGTAACTGCCATCAATGAAGGATTAAGTGTTCCAATGTCTGACTTTTTTTTTTTTTTCTTCTTTTTAATTTATACAACAAATAAAGGAACGCTTTTTAAATTGAATCATAGGAACCCTCTAGATGTATTATAAGTAGGTGTATTTTGGGATTTTTTTTTTTCTTCTTGTTTCACCAGGTGTTATATAATTGTTAGCAGTTGGGCATTTTACTGCAATTTCCTGCAGTATCACATTTTTCAAAGGCTTTTTCTTTTCAGTTTCATACATATGTATCTTTGAACCCTATTGTCTATTCCCGCACCACAACCTGATTTTTAACTTTTAAACCATTTTGAATTATTGCAGAAAAAAATCCTGATGTTTTTAAAGAGCCAGCTGGACATAAATATTCTAACTTACAGCCCTTTTATTTGCGTGTAATGGTAATTGATCTGAAGCCACTTTCTGTAGAGTTTTTGCCTTTTGCAATCAGGTTCAGGCCATAGAACGCCTTTCCCCACCCCCCCCAGCTGCCATTTTGAAATTGTGTCCTAGAACAGTGATGACCAGCCCTATGGCACCCCATGTGTTGTGAGCTAAATTTCCCATGATGCCAAGCTGCTTTATGGGGAATGTGTAGCTTGCATCCTGGGGTACCACACGTTAGTCAATCACGGTCTTAGAGAGTCGCAGTATAGTCATTAAAGAGGACCATTTTTGTATTGTTATCTGACTATATAAGTCTCATTTACTGTATGTGCTAAAATATATAAATATATATTCCTTTTGTTATAGATTTCTCCTAAAAGCAGGTCGAGCAATAAAAATGATTTTAATTCTTAAACTCTCGTGTTATTTTTTTTTTTCATTAAGTCTTTGTCACTATGTGAATTTAAAATCTTATTAATGACGTTCCTCTATGGTTGATGTCCTATGTGTATTTTTTTTATTTATTTTTTTTAAACGTGGAGAATGTTTGGCCCTGTGATGATTATTAAAGTGTCCGTGTTTTGGGTTTCTTTTCCTCACATTTTACACATCGGTAGCTTGATAACCAATTTTTACATTTTAATATATTAAACGCAAAAATAACTTTCAAATATATATATTTTTTAAATTTCATATGTGTTGTCCAATTGTGAAAGCTGTTTCCATTACACAAAGGAAGGCAGTTATATTAATCTGAACAACTTGAGCCTGGGTGAATATGATCATGGTTATTTACTTAAGTGGTAATTGCCGGGAACTCAAGGTGAATTTTGAATTTAAGGTCAAAGTAGTTGAATTGCAACTTTCTCCAAGTTAGCTAGGCTTCTACTTTGGTTGTTTTAAAAAATCTGAAATTCTCACTTAATAACCATCGTCTGTTGTGATTATTTGGGGCTCACACCAATTACTTGTGGACCTTTTGGGACCTGACCCATGCACTCAGAACTACTGCTATGATACATGGATTAGGTTTAACTCAATGTGTTTTGTGGATTTTCAATACAATATTCAAGGTCATCATTGTCAACTTCCAAGATTTGTTGTTCGGATTGTCCTGTCCTTAAAGGCCAGCTGACCTTTTTTGGGGGGGGGGGGATGGGATGCTGGTGAGTGGCAAACTTCCCATTTTATTTCTTGTAATATCAGTAATGAACGCAGTCTGTGTATTTACTTTCTCCCAGTTTACATGATATTTGTTGTGAGGACTGACATAATTATAAAACCCTATCTATTTTACAGTCTGCACCGACCGTATGGTGGGTGTTAGCTGGCGGCGCTTGTAAACAGCGACTGCCATGGGTTTCATAAGGGACAGTCGTGACACAAAAATAAGACCTTCTCACTAGGTAACCTTGGCAAGGATCACATATTATGTTCATGAAGTGTTCCTTTTCAAGTCACACAATGCAGTATCAAATTATGCCACTCGATGGCAGTAAAGAGTCAGCTCTGCATTGTGATAATGTGTATAGCTGTGATGGATAACATTGACTCCCAGACACTTGGACTACATTTACCAGAATGCTGCTCAGGCAGCCACTGAGTTCATTAAGTTTGTTCTCAAGCACTAAGTTTAGCAATCATCAGTATGTAACTGTTTACTCTTTTTCAAATGATAAACTTATACACGTAATTATTTCTGAGAATTCAAAGCTTGCGAGTGACCACCCTGTGTTGTCAGAGATTCTGGCTTTCTTTTGGAAAATAAATAAATGGGCCGAAGGTCTCCACATCAACTACGTTTTTAAATATATATTGTGTATGTTGGCGATATTGCTTTACCATTGCTAAATCGGCATCAAAGAAATGTCGTCATTTATCTCCGCTGCTAATCGCTCACTACCACAAACACTAAATCGAGAACCTTCAGTACCCCCCTTAAAAGTGTGTTTTTTGAGTGAGTGTGCCAATTGACCTGTTCCTCCCCTCAAGT